TTCGGTATGCAAATGAAAGAAAGAAAAACTCAGGGAAGGTTCCCATCTTCAGCACAACAGTCCTGTCTAAAAAGTCTACTTATATAGATTGGGTATCATTCTTAATGCGGCAATCATGTTTATTCATAGTTAACCCGTGGGAAGGCGCGTGGGGTGTATCATACCCCAACCCTACATAAAAGTGGAATATTCCTAACTTGTGAAACTGAAATTCTGTGCTGCTTTCAGTAGCTGAGTTTCTAGTTGTGGTTGACTTTAAAAACCGCTTTTTCTTGCCTGTGTGTTTCAGAAAAAGATTTATTGGTATTTTGTTAGAACTGGGGTATGACACACCCCACGCGCCTGTCCGTGTAAGTGTTTTTCTGACTAAATATTTAGTTGAGAAATTTATTTCTAGAGTGTAACAGTAAATATTTCTACTCGCAAGTGATTTTAAAGTACTTGACATTAAATTCTTAAAAATTTCTAACTGCATTATGGTAAAAAGAATGAGTCCCTATGAACCCTAATTGGCATCCATCCCTAACTGGAGATGCAACGCATGTGAGATTTATTAGAAATATTTGAAAGCGATGAAGATTAGTTTAGATGAAGATTAGCCAGAAGTCTGTTTTGAAGGATGTTTTTGAACAATTAATGAAAAAAAGTATTGAATAAAGATCAGAGATTAATACTTTTCCAAGAAATTGGCGTACTGCATGCAAACAAAAGCAGAAGTTTCGATGAAGAATTAAAACGAATACATGAAATTCGAAACAACTAAGTATGAAAGATGTGTTAAATTTTTTTGCCCTCGCGCCAAGGACAGAAGAACGTGAATGCAATGTTTACAATGTGAAAACATTCTGTGCCAACAACACATGAATGTATTTCGTTCAAAGTATGAAGAAATAAAATAAGCATGGTGTATTAGAGATGCAATGAAACTTAGAGGCATGGTGTTTATTATTTTCATTTATCTTAATTTTAACTCTAAGATTATTTTGGAAATTAATTTTTTGAAACCCAATTATTATTCACTTATTTATAATACTCAAGAAAAAAAAAAAATTTAAAACTAAATAATACTATTCTTATTGTATTTTAAATATTGGGGTATATGATACCCCACGCTCCAACTCTAGTAACTTTTCTTGGTGCGACTTCCTCCGGGTTAATAAAAGACAAGATGGCATTTGCATTTAGTGTTAAGGCTTTATACATTAATTAAAATTTGAATTAGACCTCCTTGCTTGTTATTAAATTTTATTGATATTAGAAAGTTTAGTATGTAGAGTCGTTAAGTTCTATCAATCCGGAAAGGTAAAAAATGTGCAGTGCCCTCAATGGGATACGAACGCCGGACCTCCCGAATAGGAATCAAGCGTGCTTCCAGTTACATATAGAAGACATGCGGAAATTAGGGAGAAAATACTTTACATACTCTGCCTTTTGAAGTGCGACTGGGGATGAGGAGACCCAGTCGCCGAATCCTAGTGGTGATGAATGTTCGTCCATCATCTTTTAGTTCGGATGCCACTTGTAGGGTTTTTTCAGAATTTTTCGGTGTCAAGAAGCTGAAGATATATGCAATGCCTTGGCTGGGATTCGAATTCTGGACTTTATAAGGTATATCTCCCATCCTATTGGCATGCCTTCGTGGTGTGGTGGTCTGCACGCTGGGTGTGTATTCCAGAGGTCTGTGGTTCGATTCCCGGCGAAGGCTTTGCTCATTTTTCATCTCTCCGGCTTCGAAATAGCCTAATGTCTCTGCATCTTCACGAATACGCTTCGGGCGTACTTTCCAGGTACGCAACGAACGCATGCGGAAGGGAGAGAGAAAATAAGCGCAGAATTTTAAGAAAAATCTACCTCTAATTTCTCATATTTCTGATTAATGTTTTTAAGATTTGTTACATTTAACTGTGATACCAAACAGTTGAAAAAATTACACATTTATTGTGCATAATTTTCCTTTTATATATCTTGTACTATCGCTATATTTATTTTGTATTAACGAAATTAATATATATTGATATTTTTCTAATTTCTTAACTATATTAATGAAATTAATATAGAAATTATGACATTAGTTATTAAAAACCCATGATCTTAACTAAAACTTCTTATTGTTACTATCGAAAACAGAAATAATAATTTATTTCAAGGGCCAGTTGAATTTATAATTGACTGTTTTTTAAAATATGTAAAATTAAATTAAATTTAGATCAAAACCACACCAAAATCAACGATAATTGAATAATATTTAAGAATGATAAACCGAGAGACAATTTTAATTACATGTGCTGGAAAAATAGGTTATATGGTTTAAAAATTGTTTACGAGGAACATGATATTCTGAAAAATTTGAAATACATGATAAAATCGAAAATCGATGCTGTTTTTGTTATTTAAATCGATGATATAAAAAAATCTACTGTTCTGAGTAGTTTGCTTTGGTAACAGAAATTCATAGAATATATGTTGTCAAGATCCCTAATGCATATATTTTTCATCAAGTTTCTCATTAAGCGGGAGAAAATCAATTTTTGTTTCGTTAATGTTTTTTACTAGCTTTTCCCAACACCATTTTTCATAGAATCTGCTTCAGATATGATATGCACGCACGTATAGTGAGTGATATTTGCTGATATTTCATAATTCTCTTATGAACCATTTTCTGAGGTAAATATTCAAAAGCTCATTAATTATAGATTTTGAATTAACTAGATTTACTTTTGGTAGTTACGATTCATTTCGTGCAAATATCAAGCTAAGGTAACATATACTCAATACATAAATTTACATTACGCAAAATACATTACTCAAAATTCGTCACTAAAGTGGCGCCAGTTTTACAGAAAATGTCCGCTTTTACATCAAGAGAATATTCCACAAATCTCTTATGAATGGAAAAAATGTAATCAGTAATTAAAATAAAATAGTTGTTTTAGAAAAGGGAAGACCCATGTCAAATTATCCTGAAATATACAGTGATTTTCGTAAAATTAACGATAATCGGGTTCTGCATTTTCACTAATTCGGTTAACTAGAACATGATATTCAATAAATAAAAGGTAACCCACAAAACGTTAAAAAAGGCCCCTTTGGGCGTAATGTAAAATCTGAAAGTGTTCAAATTCTTTTAATTAATTTTTTGTTTATTTATTTGTTTTATATATTTTGTTTCTTTTATTTATTTGTTTCATTTTTTTTTGTTTTGTTTGTTTTTAGCCCAAATACTAGGCGCAATGTAAAATCTGAAAGCTTTCAGATGTTTTTTATTAATTTTGTTGTTTATTTATTTGTTTTATATATTTTGTTTTCTTTATGTATTGGTTTCATTTATTTGGTTTTAGCCCAAACGGCCAATTTGCCCAGAAGGACTATTAATTTCGTTTTGGCATTTTGCCTCGTCCACTATTAAACGGCGTTTTGCTTTTCAAATTGTTGCCACCAAATATTAGAGCCTTGCACTATATTTAAAGAAATGAAATAATGAAGAATATGTATGAATGTTTCTCGCACGGTGAAAAATAACGGGACCTAGACATCAAATTTTGAATACTTTGCCCATCACTCGAATATGGGCATCTGGAAGCTCAAATTTGGAATTTGGAATTTTTTTTATTATCTGCTTTATATTTTGTAAGACATTAACGAATTTTTTAACGACATTAACGAAAACATACTAAGTCAAGATCAGAAATGTTATATTATTCAACTGAAGTAACACACTCTCCAATCAAAATCAGGAAGAAACAGTTTTTTCAAACATCTCAATTCATTCACTGTAATATTGGAAATAAGAATTTCTTTTCTAACAAAGGCATTTGAATATACATCATTCGCCTTCATGAATCGAAGATAAATGAGATTGGAGCATGAAAAGAAAAAAAAATGGAAGTACAAAAAGAGAAAACAGTGATTAACCTCATTATAATAATAATAACTACATCAAAACTTGGAAATGGAAAACAAATTATTACATTAAATAATAATAATAATAATAATAATAATAATAATTAGTCTCTGGATGTCAACTGCATCAACTCTCTAGCCCGGCAATGTCGACTGCATAGGTTTTCTTCCTTCAACGAGGAACATTTTAGCAAATGATCTCTGTCCGTCTCAAAATTCTGGTTGCACAAAGTACGCAAGGTACTTTCATACATACAAATGTGGCGCAGATGTTCAGCGAGACAATCATGTCTGGTCTACAAACGAAGCGAGGCAACTGCGATGGATCTGGGAGAATCTAGGATATTGCAAATCGAATCCCACCACTTCTTAATTTCTTCAAATAATTTAACTTCAAAATTTGGTCTCAGGATATTTTTTGCTATTCATTTCATTTATGTAAGTGGTCCTTCATTATTATTAGTCCAAAGGGGCTTTGTCCCTGAAGGACTATTGCTTTCGTTTTGCGTAGAATCACTATAAATGTCCGTTTCATTTTTTAAACTGTTGCCACCAAATATTAGAGTCTTGTATTATATTTGAAGAAATTAAATAATGAAAAATCCTCATAAATGTATGCATGTTTCTCGCATTTTGATAAAACAACGGTACTTAGAGCCATCGAATTTTGAATGACGTAATCTTTCTACGAATATAGGCATGTGGAAGACCAAATTTGAAATTTGGAATTTGTTTTATTATTGATTTCATATTTTGTAAAACTTTAACGGATTTTTAATTAAAAAACTCAAGGATTTTAAAGCGAGCAATGGCAACACTCTACGGAGGGGGGGGGGCAAAAAACCTTTTATCTCCAGTGCGTGGAACTGTGCATCGGAAATTCTAAAGATATGCTCATTTTAAAATTATTTGCGACTGAATTTTATGGTTAAGTGCAAAGAACATGATATTTAATAAATAAAGGTAACACACAAAACGTTAAAAAAACGCCCCTTTGGACGTAATTTAAAATCTGAAACATTTCAGATATTTTTTCCTATTGGGGTTTCTTAATGAAGAGCTGATTAATGTTATGATAATAGGTGATTTGTGTGCCTTGTTTAATTGTAAAATTTCAGTCCCTTTTTATGTATTTCATTAGCCCACTCATTGTCAGTAATTAGAACATGATCCGGGATCCACTGTAAGACAACGACCATCTCTTTTGAGGCTAGAAGACTTCTTCTTCTTCTGTAAGATTCAATAATTTTTGATTCCACAGAATTTATTATGTGCGGAAATCGCTTGAATGGTTGACTGGGACAATCTTTTTGAGTGAGTTGAATTGTTCTAACAATAATTTGTTCAGCTGCAACTCTAATTGTCTCTAGTTCTCCATCGGAATTGGTCTGAAATGGACCAAGAAAAGAGCAAAAGGCAAACGGCTCTGAATACACACCAGCTCCAACTTTGTCAAACATTTCCGATCCATCAGTATATATGTAAAGCCAATTTTTTCTTTGGAAACCTGTAGTAAATTGTCTTCACAGTTGCTGCATTTAGTTCACTATCAATTGATGATGACTTTGTTTTAGATTACATGTAACAACATTCAATTCCAACAGATCCTAGGTGGATAAAACATGTTGGTTTTAATAGTTCTTCTGTGGGAACATCCAGGAGTGAGTAGTCAGATTAGGCTACAGGCAATCAGGGCTTCACAATCATAGCAAATTAACAGCTTGACACATGATTTTACATGTTTTATTTATAGTTTTTCTTCCACAACCCCATTTTACCGCTGCGAAGCTCTTAATGACCGTTAACCGTTTTCGAGTTCTATCAATCTCGTTATCAATATGTCTCCGCTAAAAGAGCTTTCTGTCAAATTTCACTCATAAATGAACAGTTTCTTCTGTCTCCCGGATGCTTCTCCCAATATAGTACTTCCCGTCCATATCAATTGGTTGTTGATTCAGGGTAATATTTACTTCCATTTGATTTTATGTAGACCATTCATATAATGCTTCCAGAGCCTGATTGATCCTAAGTATCATTTTATCAGTATGTTTCTCTAGGTGTGAAGTCCACTGCACTAAGCCATTGGCTCGTAGAAAACATTCATGATCCTTCATTTTTTAAATTCTTTCAGGAAAATCGCAAATACGAATAGAATTTTGATAATAATAATAGTGTTACACCTTAAACTCAGACGTATAAAGTGTTAGGAATTTCCAAATGATGTCAAAATTCGCATCAAAAGATGAATTCTTTCGATCGGAATATTTTTCTATGCAGTAGGAAAAATGTCATTTTGTAAGTAATTAAGAAATACTTGGTAAATTCCAAAGCTTAATAGATATCTAATTTGATTTAGGTATCTATTCAAATATTTTATAAATATTCCTACAATTTTTAATGTAATATAGTATTTTAAGATAGATCGGAAGTTTGTACAGTAGAAAAAAGACAACTCTAAGTTAAATCTATGCAAAATACGAGAAGTTTTATAACTGAATGAAGTAGAGAACTAGAGAGGAATAGAATTACTACCATACTGTGAGCGTATCGAGAGAAGGAATATTACATTTTTAACCGTTGTTGTTGTTATCAGTCCCACTCGCCTGATGATGGTCAGCCCACACCTACGATATTCACCACTGCAAAGAATTAAACGTGCCTGTCGTTGGCTTGAGTCTTGAGCACCATACAGGGGACAGTCCGACTATAGCCCAGTTCCGCTCCCAATTTTGAAGACGAGAATCCCGGCGCGACGGCTCCGAAGATCTCCCATCCGTCTTCTCCTGTCACCGGCCACTAAAGACGAGTTTCGGCTCCCTGCATAGAATGCCCCCACGCCGCAGAGACGCTATACATTTACAAACATACATACCTTCTCCATACATACATTCGAAGTTTTGGACTGTTTTAAAATGAATCAACTCGCAAGAATTTCTGCAAAAAAACATTATCTTCCAATAAGAAAAGCTTGTTGAATGTCAACAACTTTGATAACATCAGTGCATTTGAATTGTTAAGAAAAAAAAACACCATGCAGTTTGCTAAAACGTACAAGAGAATTCATATTTTAACTTTTCAGTCATCATTTAGTAAAGCTTATCGTAATTTATTTTAAAAATACAATAAAAAAATTCTGGAGCTTAAAGTTTATTGCTCTTATATGAATAAAATATGCTATTATTTTCGGTTATTTATTGTGATCGTAGTATTCCCTCGTTAGAATTCCATGCAAACGGAAAAAGTAGCCAAACGTATTACCGAGGCACACAACCAGGATATCCTGCCTCTTCAAGCTACACTTCTACAGGAAAAGAAAGTGAAAAAGCTAAATAATAATACGGAAAGGGAAAAAACCCACCAAAACCCTGCCCACCTTCTGAAAACGTGGTTAGGGGGAAATCGTTCTCCTCTGTAGAAGACTTCTTCATTCTGCTTTTCTTTTCCTAAGAGTTAACGGCAGCATCTATGGAATACAGACGACACGATAGTTGTACATTCCCCCTCCTTACCCCCTAGTTCTTCACAGTTCCGATTCATTTTGTACAAAGAAGTGGATGCTACCAGGAAGGGAAAAGAAAGGAACGAAATGAAAGGGAATAAAGGGGAAAAAGAAGGAAAAAAATCCCGGTTAAGAGGCATCGAACATTAGGGTCATCATCATCATCATCATCAAGAGCATCTTCCTGATGGCATAAGGGATTGTAAGAGGCAAGAGAAGGGAAGAGAGAAAAACACCATCTGGAAGGTGATATATATTTTTTGCCTTTGCTTCTACGTAGAAAGATATAGAGTGGAAATTGAGAGGTCTACTTAAAATCTCAGATCTATTTGCAAGAGAATTATATTGTTGAAGTCTATTTTAAAAGATAATTATGATTACATCTCTTTACCTTGAATTATCACAAACGGTAAAAGAGTATAAAAAATCACAGAATATTACTTTATTTCCCTATAAAATCCAATACGTAGATGATGTTACTAATTTCAGAATGATTTATTTTTATTCAAAGAAAGCGCTTCAATATTTATAGTCCAAGGGCTTTAAAGTATTTGGTCGTGGGACCATAAGAGGAAAATGATAATTAGCATGAATGACGTTTCCAGTTTATGTATGTAATTATTACTAATCGTAATTCTGTTATTATAAAAATATATAAGACCTTTGGTGCAAAAGTATACTAAAAAGTACTTCTACTTTAACTTCAAGGAAAAAACATTGTGTATCTGCTTGGAAGAGTAATCGAGCAAGAAGAAAGAATGAGCAAAACGACTCTAAGTTTTGAATTGAGAAAGCCATTTTCAAAATGCAAATAAAAACCTAAATTTTTAATTGCGGGGATACTTAAATTAGTTAGAAAATGTATATATATCAAATAGTCAAATAAATTAATATTTACAAAGAACCCTTTCATTTTAATTACATCAAAGTTCCATTAGGTGCATATTATTACATGCAGTACGAACCTGTAGTCAAGAATTTGAATCAGAAAGTTGTCAAGAATTTGAAAGGCAAATCAGTTTCAAATTAATTTTAAAGTCTTCAGCATGATACAACAACATTGTTTATTTTATGATTGATAGATGTAGTATTTTACATCAAAGATTCCTTTCAAGATTTCCTCATTAATGTGAAACAAACTTACCATGCTCCTAAAATATTGTCACCGGTGATTAGGGTTCCTTTTTTATATGCTTTTAAAATGCTGACCATTATTTCTTCCTTTTAATTATGAAGCGATGTAGAATTTTAAGACTAACTTATTCTTCATTAGAGAAAGTCATTATATTTTCATTTTTAAATGAGTTTTTAAAGGGTTTGGAATTATATAATATGATGATAAGCTGTGTATTCGTTAGAATGCTAAGTATTATTTATTTTCGCAAGTTTTGGTCATAACAAAAATAAGTTAAAATAAAATGCATACATTGCTTAGTGCTGTAAACTCGAGGTGTGCAAATAAAGCGCTTTTTTTCTAAGGGGTGACTGGAAAAATTTTGGTAGAATGGAATCATCCAAGAGCATATATCATAACACTGTTTACATTTTACTTCACGTTTGACGGGGAGTTTAACACGATTATACAATATAGTTTTACAGTATGAAGAAAGCAAAATTTACTGCGATTATTTTTTGATAGGGTTATAAAGTCTAAGGTAAATATTGTAGGAGAATAAACTATATCATTAAAACAACTTTCAAGGAAGCATGCTTAATATAAATTAAATGAGATATAATTAAGCAAAGCAGCAGCCTTGTCTTTGGTATATATTTTTTGATAGGGTATTCAGCGTTATAAAGTCTAAGGTAAATATTGTAGGAGAATAATACTATATCATTAAAAAACTTTCAAGGAAGCATGCTTAATAAATTAAATGAGATATAATTAAGCAAAGCAGCAGCCTTGTCTTTGGTATATATTTTTTTGATAGGGTATTCAGCGTTATAAAGTCTAAGGTAAATATTGTAGGAGAATAAACTATATCATTAAAACAACTTTCAAGGAAGCATGTTAATATAAATTAAATGAGATATAATTAAGCAAAGCAGCAGCCTTGTCTTTGGTATATATTTTTTGATAGGGTATTCAGCGTTATAAAGTCTAAGGTAATATTGTAGGAGAATAAACTATATCATTAAAACAACTTTCAAGGAAGCATGCTTAATATAAATTAAATGAGATATAATTAAGCAAGCAGCAGCCTTGTCTTTGGTATATATTTTTTGATAGGGTATTCAGCGTTATAAAGTCTAAGGTAAATATTGTAGGAGAATAAACTATATCATTAAAACAACTTTCAAGGAAGCATGCTTAATATAAATTAAATGAGATATAATTAAGCAAAGCAGCAGCCTTGTCTTTGGTATATATTTTTGATAGGGTATTCAGCGTTATAAAGTCTAAGGTAAATATTGTAGGAGAATAAACTATATCATTAAAACAACTTTCAAGGAAGCATGCTTAATATAAATTAAATGAGATATAATTAAGCAAAGCAGCAGCCTTGTCTTTGGTATATATTTTTTGATAGGGTATTCAGCGTTATAAAGTCTAAGGTAAATATTGTAGGAGAATAAACTATATCATTAAAACAACTTTCAAGGAAGCATGCTTAATATAAATTAAATGAGATATAATTAAGCAAAGCAGCAGCCTTGTCTTTGGTATATATTTTTGATAGGGTATTCAGCGTTATAAAGTCTAAGGTAAATATTGTAGGAGAATAAACTATATCATTAAAACAACTTTCAAGGAAGCATGCTTAATATAAATTAAATGAGATATAATTAAGCAAAGCAGCAGCCTTGTCTTTGGTATATATTTTTTGATAGGGTATTCAGCGTTATAAAGTCTAAGGTAAATATTGTAGGAGAATAAACTATATCATTAAAACAACTTTCAAGGAAGCATGCTTAATATAATTAAATGAGATATAATTAAGCAAAGCAGCAGCCTTGTCT